TTCCTCTCTCTCTCACTCTCTCTGGTCAAATTTAAAAGATTAAAAAAAAAAAAAAAAGACTAGATAGGGACCAACAGATGGCATAATGGTTATGTTGCGGGACTTCCATGTAGCCAACCTCAGTTCCAGCCCTGAACCTGGCGGCTTCAAACTCACGCATGGGGGGAGGGAGTGGTGTGGTGGTTAAGGGCACTGGACTCCCACATGGTCAACTGCAGTTTGAATCCTGGATCTGGTGACTTGCTGGCTTTCTCACTCCCCCCCCCCTCACTCTGTCCCTCTCTGGTCAAATTTAAAAATAGTAAAAATAAATAAATAAAGTTAAATAAAATAATTCTAAAAAAAATGAGTGGATAAAACTGGGAAGGGAAAAAAAAGAAAAGGAAAGAGTGATTCATGCAGTACTGCACTGATGTACACCCGGACCAGAGACTACTAAATCAAGTATGATTTATCTAATAAACAAATTAGCTTTAAAACAGAATCTCAGAGGCTGACATTCAAATTATTCATTCATAGAAACATTTCTCATTAAATGTTTACTATGTAAGCAAAAAATTGAATAAAAATATTTTTGTGCCTTTATAAAGCTTAGAGTTAAGTAGAAGGGATGGTACAAAGTAACATAAGAGAAGGCTCAAAGTGTTGAGTATTGTCCTGAAGAGATAAACCGAGGTCCAGAAGGAAATTCATTTTTGGATGGAGGAGAGAAACAACTACAAGATTCTTGTGGTCCAGCAGTGGAAACCTATGGCTCATTAATCTTTTCAGGATGGGGACAGCTATGGCCCACAGGGCTTTAGTGACCCAATGTCTGCCCGAGTTTAGTCAACAGTGATAAGAAAAACAGGTTCATGAATGGAAGAGCTACTGTGTAACTGCCTGACAGTGAGCCAAGGCTTTGGCTGGCCAGAAGGTATCACTGGTCATCATTAAATGCGATGATCTGAGACTGCCAACACCACTCTGAGTCCACTATGTGCTGCCACAGGGTAGTGAGTACTTGAGGGCATGTGGAAGATTTAGCTGGATGACAAGCTTAATGCTTATCTCACTCTGAGCAGCAAAGAGCAGGAAGGCATGACAAAGAGAAAAATGAGAAAGGAACAAAGTAGGGCAATTACAAAAAGAGTTGATGGTTGACTCCAAAAGGAATGATTATGATGATAGCACATAAAACTCTGATAAATCCTATTATCTTCTAGAATGAACAGAAATGTCAACAGTGTATTGGTCCCAGTGTAAATAAATGTCAGTGAAGATACCTAAAGGCAAACCCACATCCACCATCCTTATATGAGAGGATGCAAAAAGTCTGCAGAAAAACAGAAAATATGAATTTATTTTGGTGCAAAAAATTTTGAAGTCTTTGCTGAACAGTGGCACAGTGTAAAATGCAAAGCTAACCCATATGGGAAAATTCCAGGTTTGCATCCAGAGATCTCCCTGAGTACGTTGGGCACACATGTGCCTATGATCCAGGACCGGCTGAAGCTAGGAATGGATCATTGTGTCAAGACCTTGTTGGGTCTGTCTGTCTCTCACTCAATCATGAAAGACGTAAACGTTAAAAGTAACTTTTTTGGGGACCAGCAGATGGTATAATGGTTATGTCGCTGGACTACCCCATGTAGTCGACCACAGTTTGAAGTCCCAGACCCAGCGGCTTAAAACTCACGCTGGGCACATGTGTATGCGTGCCCAAAATTCAAAGAATGGAGTAGTAGAAGGGATTGCAATTTGGCCATCTCCCAGGGGTATGTGTGCGTGCCCCAGATCCAGAGAGGAGAATGGGGGATCCATTCATCCATTCATCATCCCCCCTGGGGGGTGATTTCTTGCTTTCTGTCTCTCTGTCTCTCTCTGGCGAGCGCATGAACCCTATAGCAAAAACCTCTCCAAAAAAAAAAATTACTTATACACACGCACACATATATACATATATACATATATACACACACACACATATATATATATACCCAAAAAGTTCCATTTAATTCCCATGCAGCAAGTAAAAATCTCCAAGACATATTGAGTAAAAGGAGAAAATTGTAATGAAGTACATAAAGAATGACATCATTATATAACACACATACAAAACCACTACTATGTATTTTCTATAGATAGCATAGGGAAAAGTCTTAAAAGATATACACCAAATTGGAAACAGTGGTTATTTCTTGTAAGGAGTTAAATTGACAGAACTGAGAATGAAGATTAATGGGATTTCAGCCTTGGCTAAAACATTTTGAATCTGAAAAACAATTGTAAAAATAAAAATGTTATCTAATGTACATTAAGTGAAAAAAATAAAGATACGGAACAATGTATATAGTATAAGCCCATTTGTGATAGGCTAAAATATACATTTATACAACCATGTTTGTAGAGTAAACAACTAGAAGTACTCACATCAACTTACTAGAGAAAAAGACAGTTTTTTTATTCTTTTTTTTTTTTTTTT